AGAGAGAGAGAGAGAGAGAGAGAGAGAGAGAGAGAGAGAGAGAGAGAGAGAGAGAGAGAGAGAGGTGGTGGAACAAAGACTTGCAAAGCACATGTTGTGTAGGTATGGCTGTGTGGTAATGCGTGCTGCGATTCCTGCGAATGGACGAATGTCTGTCATGACTAGGAGAAAGAAGTGGAAAGGAAAGACAACAACAACAGTACACATGAGCATGCATATGTGTCACAGCAGGTGTCCCTCCCTTTTTCCGCCATGATGGATGACCCGCAGGGGGTTGTAGACTTGTAAGTATAGACTTTGAACCTAGGTTCCTCCCACCTGGTCATTGACAATGTCCTTTATCCAAACGAGGCCTTGCTGGCAACCCACTCACACCACAAATAGTATAATTATTAATTATCGCATTACGGTTGAAATGGGGTTTTCTGCTTGAAAATGGTTTTGTGCTATATTAAATGATAGAAATGGAAATTCAAGGTAAGAGTTCGTAAGACTAGTAACTGCCTTTTTCTCTCCTTGACTATTTGCTAACAAAGGTGGACTTTGCAATCTGGCTTAATGCTTGGATTTCTATATAATAATATATTACTTTTTTTTTTGGCATGACAGACTAAAGGGGTTTAACTTTTCAAATTAGTAAATCTTCACAGATATTGTACTGCTGGCAAAACCGTAAAAAAAAAAAAAAAAAAAAAAAAAAAAACAAACAAACAAACAAAGTTATCAAACAACAATGAACATGGTCGTTGATTGCCGGTGATGAGCAACGGGAGTGAATCCCCCCCCAAGAACAGGTGGGGGAAGTGTGTGTGGCCTCGTCTTCTCAGGACAACCATGGATGACGGCACTGGGTAATCACGGTGGGCCTAGTAACTGGCCTCGACAACACCCTGGAGTTTTTAATAGTTTTTATTTATAAAAATAAAGGGATAATATGGCATAGCAGGCATGCCATATAAAATCAGGTGCAGGGCATTTGAACAAGCAAATAAGTTGAAATAACTCATTTCAAGTTGCATACATACACCACACCCCGTCATTATGTATGTAGACTGAAAGTTGCATCAAATTCTGGTATAATGACCGGCCTTTCTATTCAGGTTTAAACGCCAGTAACCTTCCATCTATTACATGTGTCTCTCTTGAAAAAAGGAAAAAAAAAAAAAAAAAAAAAAGACAACCCCTTTATATTCTGGGGGGCCACCAGTGCGATTGCTTATCACCGGCAAGCATGTAAAAAGGACCAGCAGGAAATCCGAGCCAAGGACCAGCAGGAAATCAGAGCCAGAGGCGTCATAACGAGCCAGAAACTCCTTCCCAAGCAGCGGGAGACTACCTGAAGTACCCAGTCCTACTGGGCACTTTCTGCCCAAATTGAGGCAAATCTGCCAATTTCTAAAGTAAAATAGGAAAGGAGAACCACTGAAAGGTAAAACCACAAAAAATAAAACTGAAACAGAAAACTTTCCCAAAAGGATAACTGCGAAATAGAAGAATTGAAACCCGCAGCGAAGACGGCCCCAGGGCCCAGGCCCTTAAAACAAGTACTTACTAGAAAAAATAGCCACAGACCAAGCTTCATCCTATCATTATGATATCATTTCATTGACAAACCATGATCATAGAGCTATCCTAAAACCGATCCTAAGACTCAACTAAGGACAACGCGATCATGGGGGCTGTCCTCGGATACAAAAAATATGCACCCTTATACTAGATGTACAACTAGGTCATTCAAGCCTTCAGAGGAAGCAGAAAGAAATGGGCTACCAGCCCACCCTGCAGAAAGAGCAGGGCCGAAGATATAATAGCGATTTGCCTCCAAATCGAAAGACTTAGTTACGAAGTTGCAAAACGGAGCCCGTGCGCGAGCCACAAAGGATTGGGGAGTAATTGGTAGACTCTTGTGTCGAGAAAGGAAGTCTGCTTGGAGGCTGTGCCTGATGTTGAAGATGACCAATCTTTGTACATGAGGAAGGGAGGAAGTCTGACTCAGAAGTCTGATCATGACGAATGCTGCAATGGTTTCGGACAGTCCAGAATGAAGCTCATGTCATTTCTGACACACATAGCTCGTGTCATTTCTGAGTCTTTTTCTGACGCATAGAGGCGAACACCTGGCTCTGAAAGTAGATTGGCGGCATTGGCCCCTAGCAGGACATCAGCAGCTAGATATTTGGACAAAAGCAGAGGGGAGCCGGCACAGCAAAGCCCAAGCCCACCACAAGCCTCGCCGAAGATGACACCGGACCCAAAAGATGAAGGAGGCCCTCTTCCCCTTGAGCACACACTACCTTCGTCCCCCGAATTTATCGTACGGCCATTATAGCTGTATGTAGACTGAAAGATACCCCAAATACAGCTATAATTACCGTACGTTGTATTTGGGGGAAGAAGGTAGGCACAATGAGTTCGTGTATCTCTAAGTTCTCTGTTCTTGCCTTCTTGCCATTCAGCCATCCACTTGTGAATCAGTGACATCCGATCCGTCCTCTGATCATATAATATGCTATACACCTGCCCCTCAAATCTTCACCAGCAAAAGCCCGTCTTTGTAATTACACTCCCCAGCATTCCTTTAGACCCTCTAGACGTCCTGGTGACCCATGCATGCTTGTGAAGTACCAGCTTTTCTATCTGAACGATCTTCTGAAGCCCTGAATTTTCTAGTCGTGCTAACAGGCTTTAGAGGCCTTCTTTTTGGTTGATGTATGGAATCTGGAATCAACGGTCACCGAGGCCCTCTCACCCTTTTTTGTTGTTGTTTGTTGTCCTTCTCCCGATTACGTAGAAATTACCCACGCCTTAGCGAGCGCGCTAGGAATTTTGTTCGACAGTTGGGATTCTGGGATTCATGGTCGCACTTTCCTGCTGACGCGTCCTTACTTGCAAGAAGAATCCCCATTAAGGGCTCTGTGAATTCCGAAAGGGATCCGAATGGGCATAGGAGTTTTCCCGCATCCAAACGTACGTCCGGAAATCGTATTTGAATCATACTTGCAACCGCACGAGCCGCACATTCGTGCGGAGTTCCGTGCGGAGATCCGTGCGGGGGGTGCCTGTGCGGAATCGTTCAGGTTTTTTATTTTTATTATTATTATTTTATCTTTTTCTGGGAGGGGGAATGGGGGGGCATACGACAGGAAGATGGGGATATGGCGAGAAGCGGGGGATATGGAGAGGAGGAGGAGGATGTGGACGAGGAGGACGACGAGGAGGAGTCGAGATGGACGGAGGGAAAAGAGGAAGGGCAGGAGGAGGAGAACGAGTGGGAGGAGGAGGAGACATGGATGGCGAGGAAGGGGAGGAAGGGGAGGACACGAGGAAGGGGAGAACACGAGGAACGGGAGGACACGAGGAAGGGGAGGACATGAGGAAGGGAAGGAGATGAGGAGGCATGGAAGATGAGGAAGTACGAGGAGGAAGAGGAGACAAGGAGGATGAGGAAGGGCAGGAGGAGGACGAACAGGAGGAGGACGAGTCAGAGGAGATGAAAAGGAGAAGAAAGGAGGAGACATGGAGGACGAGGAAGGGGAGGAGGAGTAAGGTGAGGCAGTACTCCTGTAAATTTTTTTTCATCTCGCTTATAATTTTGGCCAGGGGCCTCAAACGCACCATTTCGACCACGGCCTTTTCTTTTCTGAGGGGGGTGACGGGTCGTTCACCGCACGTGCCGTGCACCACAGGGGATCGGTTGGGCGCGTGCGCCGCATGTAGGGAACCGCCCGCACGACGTGCGCTTGCAAGTATGATTTGAATTTCTAAATCTTGAATTAGTTTTAGGAGTTAGAGTGGGTGGAACATAACTGTTTTGGTGCCTGTTTGTTTTTGTGTTGGTGCCGTGTATGCAAGTTTCCTCCCCCTCTCCCCTCCTCCCGCCTTCTGCTTTCCCAGTGCCATCTTCGCCTCTCCCTTCTTCGCGTGTTTTTCTCTCCATCTGTAACTATGTTCCATCTCCTCTCCC